CAGCAGCAGCAGCAGCAGCAGCAGCAGCAGCAGCAGCAGCAGCAGCAGCAGCAGCAGCAGACACAGAAACGAAGGCTCCATGAGGCATTTGGGGGAGAATGTGAGAACAGCAGGAGTGCTTTGAGGTCGCAACTAAACGCCTACAGCCACCATGGGCAGCAGCAGCAGCAACAGAATGCGCTGCAGCAAAATCACTCTGCTGCTGCTGCTGCTGCTGCTGCTGCTGCTGCTGCTGCTGGGCATAATGAATTACCTGTCCTGGGGCTTTGCTCTCTGTAGATCAGTTCGGCCGCAGGTAGATGTTTTCTTCTGCTGCTGCTCGTGCTCGGGCTCGTGCTGCTGCTGCTGCTGCTGCAGCTCGTGCTGCTGCTGCTGCCGCGGCTGCAGCTGTTGAGGGACGTGCTGCTGCTGCAGTCTCGTCTCTTCTGGAATCAGCTGCTGCTGTTTGGGCTTCTGCTGCTCCAAATGGGTCTGCTGCTGCTGCTTTTGCAGCTCTTCTTCCTGCTGCAGCTGTTGCTGCTGCTGCTGCTGGCACCGCTGCTGCTGCTCGCGCAGAGTTTCCAGGTCGATGCTGCAGCTGCTGGTGAATCTGCTACTGGCTGCCCTGCTGCTGCTGCTCTTTCTGCTGCTGCTTCTCTTGCTGCTGCTGCTGCTCCTGCTGCCTTGCTGCAGCGGAGGCGGATCTCCTGGGGAGCTGCTTAAGCAGCTTATCCCCAGAGGGGGTTCCTCCTCTGCTGCAGCAGCAGCAGTAGCAGCAGCAGCAGTAGCAGCAGCAGCAGCTGCTGCTGCAGTGAGTGCTGCTGTCTCTTCTGGAGCGACAGCTGCTGCTGCAGTGGGAGCAGCAGCCGCAGCAGAGGGCCCAGGCGAAGCAACTACGGCAGCAGCTGCAGCATCAGCACCTAAACTGCGGCCTTCTACGTTTGCTGCTGCTGTTGCTGTTGCTGCTGCTGCTGCTGCTGCTGCTGCTGCAGCTGCTACCCGGGAAGGCCCTTCTGTTGCTTCTGCTGTTCTATCTTCTTTGGAAACTCGGCGGTCTCCTGCAAGAAATGTCTTTTTGCTGCTGCTGCCATTGTTGCTGCTGCTGCTGCTGCTTTTGCTGCTGCTGCTGCTGCTCTCCTCTTGCTTCGCTGTCTCTGCAGCAGAGCCACGAGAAGCAGCAGCAGCAGCAGAATCGGGGAGCTTCTTGCTCGTGTTGCTTCTGCTGCTGCTGCTGCTGCTGCGGGTCTCATCTGTGCGCTGCCTGCTGTCGACGCCGCTGCTGCTGTTGCTGCTGCTGCTGCTGTTGCCACTGCGAGCAGCAGCCCAGCGTGCTGCTGCAGCAGCCTTTGCTGCTGCGGCGTCTCTCCTTTGCTTGACTGCTTGCTGCTTCAATAGCAGCTGGCGCTGCTGCTCCCGCTGCTGCTCCTGCTGCAGCTGCCGCAGCAGCAACTCTTGCTGCAGCCGCTGCTGCTTCTGCTGCTCCAGCTGCTGCTGCTTCTGTCGCTGCCGCTGCTGCTTCAGCAGCACTTGAGTTTGAGCTGCTTCGCATATCTTAATGTGCTTCTGAATGCGAGAAGCAGCAAAGTTTCTGCAGACACAAAGACACATGAGCACTGCTGCTGCTGCTGCTGCTGCTGCTGCTGCTGCTGCTGCTGCTGCTGTTGCTGCTGCTGCTGCTGCTGTGTTTGCAGCTACTGCTGCTGCTCCGGCGGGTTCTGAGCTCGCTGCTGGCTAGCTAGCTAGCTAACTGGCTTTCTAGCTAGCTAGCTAGCTAGCTAGCTAGCTATCTAGCTAGCTAGTTGCAGCAATGTTGCTGCTGTCTGAGGTTAGCTAGCTAGCTAACCTGAGACAGCAGCAGCATTGCTGCAACTCTTCGTCTTGCTGCTGCTGCTGTAGCTGCTGCAGCAGCTGCTGCTGCTGCCTTTCAATTGCCTCCTCAAAATTCTCTATGCCTTTTACTGGCTGATCCTCGACTTGCTGCTGCTGCTGCTGCTGCATCTGCTGCTGGATCTGATGCTGCCCTTCGTGATCTTGCTGCAGCTGCTGCTGCTGCATCTGCTGCTGCTGCAGCTGCCACTGCTGCAGCTCCTCGTGGTCATCAAAATCTTGCTGTTGGTGCTGCTGCTGCTGGAAGAACTCTTGCTGCTGCTGCAGCAGCTGCTGCTCGTGCTGCTGCTGCTGCTGTTCCCACTGGCTTGCGAAGTCTTGCTGCTGCTGCAGCAGCAGCTGCTGCTGCTGCTCCAGGAGCTGCGACTCATCTCGTTCCTGCTGCTCTTGCTGCTGCAGCGCTTCGAAGGCTTCATCCTCTGCAGCAGCAAACCGCGCTTGTTCCTGCAGCTGTTGCTGCCGCAGCTGTTGCTGCTGCAGTTGTTGCTGCTGCAGTTGCTGCTGCTGCTGCTGCTGCAGCTGCTGCAGCTGCTCCTGGTCTGCTGTCTGAAGCAGCAAAGATGGAAGCACCTGCAGCACACGCGGAATGCAGCAACACACACTTCGATCACCTGTCAGCATTCACTTTGCTGCT